AATTTCTGATGGCTGCCCTGGTCATAATGTGCAAGTATGATGTGCATACTTGCACCATATAGCAAGCACTTCCCCTGCAGATGGTAGTTAACGTGGCACTAAACTCAGGAGTTATAAATCTTAAAAATACATTTAAGCCTTTACCTTAACTAATAACAAAACTATAGCTTATTTGTGTGTCACTCGGCTGTAGATCCTCAAATCATCTCTGAATTCATGCTGACACTGTCCTTCCTTCTGGAGGGTGGCTACTTTTGTTCCCCATGGTACCAGTGTGTGTTGTAAAGTAGTCACCACTTCAAGCTCACTCCTGTGATGGACTACAATCTCAATACAAATGTAACTAATTGTGAGATTGTAGTTCATCAAAGGAGTGGGAAACACAAGTAGCCACCCTCCAGAAAGAAGGACAGTGTCAGCACCAATTCAGAGATGCTTTGAGGATCTACAGCCGAGTGACACACAAATAAGATACATTTTTGTTGATAGTTAAGGTACTTGAATGTATTTTTAAGATTTAACTCCTGCGTTTAGTGTTAGTTTAAAGGGGTTCTAAACCCTCCGGTTGTTTTTGCCTATATCTACTGCTAGCATGCAGTAGATATAGGCAAGAAGTGTAAAAAAAAAAAAAAAAAACCCGCTTAAAATCATTTTAAACTTACCTCGATATCGCCGCTCACTCTCGCGCCGTGAATCAGGAACTGCTCGTACGGCCGCAAAGGATCTTGGGGCGGGCGCATGCGCAGTTCCGATTCTCGGCCGGGAGACGAGCAGAGACGCAAGGTAAGTCTATGGACGCGTGCACCCGCATGTAGACACCGCTGGATCGGAGGGACAGAGCAGTCAGCGCTGGATCGGAGTGACGTCACACCGCTGGAGGGACAGATGAAAACATGGGGAAAGAAGAGGAAGATCGGAAAAAGAGAAATCATTTAAGGCAAGTGCTAACATTTACATGGGGGGGAGGGGAAAAAAATTTGCCTTTAATGTCACTTTAAGTTCTGTTTTAAAGTGTTAGTTCACCTTAGAAATACAAAATGTACATTTTATATCAATTTACCATGGTTACTTGTATAAATCTAATAAGCATAGTGTGGATTATGGCTGCGCTACTTTCAGTGACACCATGTGATTCATGGAGTCGCTCCGCCTCCCTTCTGCAAACAAAATCCTTTGACTGACAGTGCAGTTGTGAAGAGATTCTGGGATACAAGCTGACGTGCACTATCATTGCCTCTGCTGCGCATGTCTGTTTATAGTCGTAACCGTTGATTTCATGGAGACTCAGTGATGTCATGTCCCTGCCTACCTCTTTCCTACTGCAATGCAAAGCTGATTGCAGACTATATTTTAGAATGCTGGCAAGCCAAGAAGAGTGAAAAAATCGATTGATTGAATGTGTGGGTACGGTAATTTCATTGGTCAGAATAGTTTAACACTACCCATTTAAATTGGCGATTGTAGTAGTTTATTTTCACTTTAATGTTTTCCATGGCTTGGCGAAGACAGAGAGACGATGATGTTGTCAAATTTTCTGGCAGACTCCACTTGCTATTGCTGTCATTTTTCGCATGATAACAAAGGTAGGGAGACTTAGATACCTAAGGAACAATCTTACCTGGTGTATTCTTGAGTTTGATCTAATTAGGAAAGCAAATGGAAAAACTGGACTAGAGAAAAAAAGCTCATACAGGAGCAGCGACTGGGACTTGGCCCTACTTGAGTGTAATTCAGATACACAAATCAAGTTAATTATGCAACAAAATTACCTGAAGAAACATCCGTCAGGTCTGGTTATGTTTTATTGAGTCATATATTTACAGCGATATTAAAGGAAATGTAAAGTTGTTTCAATGGTGTTTTTATTTATTTATATATATGTGTATGTTATAATTTGTAATTATATATGCACAGGGGGGCATCTGTATTTGCTTAATCATATGCAGGTTCTGCTGCCTAGCTTGTAGTACCATATACAGGGCTTTGCTGCTTCTTCTCCCAATGCAATACCTTTGGGTTTATTTATGAAACTTTGCACAGCACTAGTACTAGGGGTACTCCTCAGCATCATCTCAGGGTGTGCATAGCAGGGTGGAAGTTTTATAAATAAAATTATATGTGTTGGCTGATTCATTGAACAGAATGGACTTTCTGTGAGTGATTGCATTAAAAAAAATGACGCTTTCTCTAAAAGTTAAAGTGACACTAAACTCAGGAGTTTAATCTTAACAATACATTCAAGTAACTTAACTATTAACAAAAATGTAGTTTTTTTGTGCATCCCTCAGCTGTAGATCATCTCTGAATTGGTGCTGACACTGTCCTTCCTTCTGGAGGGTGGCAACTTTTGTTCCCCATGATCCCTGTGTGTGTGTTGTAAAGTAGTCACCACTCCAAGCTCACTCCTGTGATGGCTACTTTACAACACACACAGGGATCCACCCAGCAACCTGACTGACAGCTGTCTCTGTCTCTCTTGAGGCAGAGCCGTCTGTGCCCGCCCGCCGTCCATCCCTCAAGTCAGCAATGGGGGAATGCAGAGGGGAGGAGAGGTTTGTGTTCGCTCAGTTCTCAATCTATAAAGCCGACGTGTGATAGCTGTAGTGTCCAACATCAGCTCTTATTATGCGGATAAGTGCATTTCACTCTCCCCATATTTCTCCTTTAAAGTGACAATAAACCCTCAGATTTTTTAACATGAACCAATACTGTATTGTTTGCCTTACTGTAATCCATGGTAGTTTCCCTTCTCTTTGCTGCTCTTCCTTTTAAATCCTCATGTCTTCTCATGCTGAGCAGAACCTCCCTTTGCAGCTCAGGGCCTCTTCCTGTCGTGCTGGCTCAGGTTGCAAACCTACACACAGACACCATATATCCATTCCTGAGACAAGGCAGTCTGCTGCAAAACAGAAGTTCTGCCCAGCATGAGAACAGATACAGATTTAAGAGGAAGAGCAGCAAAGAGAAGGGAAACAACCATGGATTACAGTAAGGCACACATTACAGTATTGTTTTATGTTAAAAAATCTGAGTGTTTAATGTCACATTAAGGTATTTGAATGTATTTTTAAGCGTTAACTCATGAGCTTAGTGTCACTTTAACCCTTTCGCTGCCAAGCCCTCCGGAACATTTTTCAAATCAGCTGGCCAAGCCATTTTTGAATTTTCTGCAATTTTTTCCTATTGATTTGATTTTCAACTGCTGCGTTGCTAGCGTTTGTAAAAGACCCCCCAAACCATATATTTTCTGAAAGCGCAGGCCCGGTAGAATAAAAAGATGGTGATACTAAAT